TCAGAGGAGGGTAATGGCAACCCCCATTTGAAGAAACATGCCAAAAAATTTCCATGATAAGATTGCCTTAGGGTTGACATAAGTTGGAAAGGACTTGAAGACCCACAAGAACAACAAAAAAGTCTGCAATTGTTTCATAGCTAGTACATGGGATTAGGAGCCAGCATGGTGTAGTGGTTTGAGTGTTGGACTACCACTCTGGAGACCTGGGTTTGATTCCCACTCTGCCATGAAACCCACTGGATGAACTTGGACAAGTCACACACTCTTAGCCTCAGGGGAAGGTAATGGCAAACCTCCTTTGAACCAGTCTTGCCAAGAAAACCTCAGGATAGGGGTTCACCTCTTATCCGCTGCTGCTTCCTCCTGCTGCCTCACGCCACACTACGCCACCCCTTCCTCCCCCTCTCTTCCTCCTCCTCTAACCTGACTTCCTCTCTTCCTCCTCCTCCCACCTCACGCTGCACCACACCTTCTTCCTCCTCCTCTGCCACCCGGTGTATAAGACGACCCCTGACTTTGGAGAAGATTTTCTTGGGTTTAAAAGTAGTCTTATACACCAGAAAATACTGCACTTGAAATAAATAAATGAAATAAATTCCCTGGTGGCCTCCCTTTCCAGTACTAACCGGGCACAATATCACACTACACTGTTATAGTGATGTTATTCCACTTTAACTACTATGGCTGCCTCCTGTGGAATTTTAGGATCTGTAGTTTAAGGAGGGGGCATTTAGAATTCTCAGCCAGAGTGCTCACTAAACTACAATTCCCAGAATTCAACAAGAGGCAGTCTTAGCAGTTAGAGTGGAATAATAGCGCTATAACAGTGTATTGTGATACTGACACAAGTCTGATCCTGCTTAGCTTCTGAGTTGAAACAGGATCTGATGCCATCAGGGTACAGTTGGCTCTCTGTATCCATGGATTCTTTATCCACAGATTCAACTATCCAGGACTTGAAAATATTCAAATATATATAAATTCCAAAAATCAAACCATGATTTTACCATTTTATGTAAGGGACACCATTTTACTATACCATTGTATTTAACAAGACTTGATCATCCACAGATTTTGATATCCACAAGGGGTCCTGGAACCAAACCTCCATGGATAGCAAGGGCCCATGTATTTATATCCTACAATACACAAATAGTGAGATAATCACACTCTAGACTCCAGTATATACATTACAAAAAATAGCACCATCCAGATGCAAGAGGATGGTATCACCAGGCTTCAAAAGAAGGATATGAGAAGGCTTAGGGCTGTAGTGGGAATTGTGTGGCTCTCTTTTCTTGGAATTGCAACTCCTAGAATTACCATTGTTGTTGGCTATGCTGGTTAAAGATGTTTGGTTAAAGATGCTGGGAATTACACTTTCACAAAGTCTAGATGACTGCATGATTTTCCACCTCTAGCTTAGCAGAACTCCAGGAAATGCAGAAGTATTTAAACAAAAAATATTTAGATGTTTTTAAAAAGTAAGAGAGCAATGACACACAAACAGCTGAATAAGATTATACATGCTATGTATCCAACAGTCATTGAGTACCTGCTGGAAGAAGAAACAGAACATTGGGAGTGGGATGGATTCTCATGGGAAAAATTGGGGCTATTTTATTTCAGGTTGCATCTGTTTCCTAAATTAAGATTAAACGGCAACATCATACTTGAAATGCGGCAGGGTGAAATTCTCAGTGTGGATGTATAGGGTCATTTTGCTATACCAGTGTGGATGCGTACAATCCTACAATTACATTTTATGACTACAGAACTGAGAATCTGGCCAGGTTTGCTTAGGATACTGGTTAAAAAAGTAAGTTTTCCAAGCTCTGTCCTACACCTTCTACTGTCTATCTGCGCCTGAATTGCAGTCAACTCCTACTTGTTATTTGCTGTGTGGCATAGTGGTTTGAGTGTTGGACTACAACTCTGGAGACTAGTGTTCGATTCCCACTCAGTCATGAAACCCACTGAGTGACCTTGGGCAAGCTACATGCTCTCAGCTTCAGGGGAAGGCAATGGCAAACCTGCTCTGAGCAAATCTTGCCAAGAAAACCCCATGATGCGTTTGCCTAAGTTGGAAATGATTGAAAGGCACACAGCACACATGCATGTTTTTAAAATTACTCTTTGTTTTGCTCATTACTTTTTGTTACTTTGGGCAGTAAAAGAATGGCATATAGCTTGAAAAATTACTGCCATTTCTCTTAAAATGTCCTTTAAAAACAATGACAAAACATTGCTTGTTTTATAAGGGCTTTTGCAGACTGCTAGAAATAGTGCAAATTGAGCCCACTTTAATTGCCCTGGCTCAGTGCTAGGGAATCACGGGAATTGTATTTTTTTTGGCGACATTGAGCCTTCTCTGTCAGAGAGCTCTAGTGCTACAATAAACTACAGTTCCCATGATTCCCTAGCACTGAGTCAGGGCAGTTAAAGTGGACTCAATTTGCACTATTTCTGGCAGTCTGCAAAGGCCCTAAGTAAACTTTATATGCACTTGTTATACTGCTTTTGGCATGCAACTTCATTATGTCCTCATTGCCCCTTCAACTGAAATGGACAAAAGTCATTATTTATTATGGGTAAGTGACCTAGTTATATCTCATTACTTCAGTGTTCTGGGAAGGAGACATTCCACCATTGGGAGCAGGTAATTGGATACCAGCCACTTATCACCTGAGTCACTGGTTCCTCCATTCCCAATGGAAGGAGTAATTCTGTTCATGTTTTAATTGCTTATAACTATAGGTCATAACAATGTAATATCCAAGCCATGGTAAAGAGCCCTGGTGGTGCAGTGTCTAAATGCTGATACTGCAGCCAAAACTTTGTGAGTTCAAACCTGCAGGGCTCCAGGTTGACTTAAACTTCCATCGTTTCGTAGGTCGGTAAAATGAGTATCCAGCTTGTTGGGGGCAATTGTCTTACACATTGCAAACCGCGAGAGTGCTTAGTTCACTATGAAGCAGTATAGAGATGTAAAGTGCTACAGCTATTATAAAAATAACAAACAGCAAAATATATAACATAGACTTTCCAACTCCATTTCTAATACTACAGTGGTTTCCTTAGTGTCACCTGGGATTTGGTTCCAGAATGCCCTGTGGGTGCCAAAATCTGTGGATGCTCAAGTCCCGTTAAACAGTATTCAGTGGCATAATAAAATTATATATAAGTGTCCATTATATAAAATGGAAAAATCAAGCTATGCTTTTGGGGAGTAATTTTTGAGTGAATATTTTCAAGCAATGGATGGTTGAATCTGTGGACATAGGCTCCGCAGATATGGAGGGCCAATTTGTAACTTCTTACCATTCAGAATTAAAATATAGAAAATAAAACCTTAGGAACAGTAAGACTTCTGATTTTGGGGAATGCTTTAACATAACTTAGGTGAGCTTTTGCTAGTGCCATTAAAATTTTTGCAACTCTTGTAGTGATATTAGAATCTTTATTTAAAAGCAAATATACTATTTTTTAAAATTAATTGAATCAGTAATAATTCAAGGTTACATTTGGTTACTATTGAACCATTAGTTAATGCTTTGCCGACAATGCATATAGGCTAAACTGTCTATGTAGCATGAAAACATTATCTGTAAATCCCCAGGCCCTAATTCATCATCATTACTGTCATCAGTTCAGTCATATTGTTCTAGCCATAAAGCTCTCACAATATCCCAGTATAACAAAAGTGAAAATGAAATGCATTCATAATGTGCCCTTACAACGCAAGAAGAAAAATATATGGAGTCACAGTTTTCACTGATAAGGTTCATGTTATCAGGCACATAATACTCTGAAATTGATTTATTTCTGTACTTGTTCATTTATAGCCACAAATTCAAAAGGATACTGAGTGAGCAGAAAGCACAACCATCAGCTTTGTCTCTTGATGCTATCATCACAAATATCTAAAAGAAATTTTATTTTAGAAGATTGACCCTTGTCTGCACTTATTTTCCAAAACAGGATAAAAAGTAATGTCTAATTCATGGGACCTGGTTTAGTTGAACCCATATATCTTTCCTTTTAACAGTGTTAAAGAAGATGGGTGACTTTTGAGGGTATCCACAGATAACCCACTGAACCCTTTCTCAAGGTCTTATATCTTGATATAGAGGATATTTAAAAAAAAGAGAAAGAAAGAAAGAAAGGAAATAAAACACTTTAATTTCAACACACACCCCCAGTGGAATTAATTTTTCTTCAGTAGTGAAACAATAAGGTTGTGATATGTGAGGCTGGTAGAGGTTGCTGGATGAGAGATGGGATATAAATGTACCCCATGAATAATAAACTCATATGAACTTGGTATTATTTTTATTAACTCTTACTATGTTTACATTTTAACACACAAAGTTTTTACCATCAAGATGACTATACAATAGAATGATAATATTGTATAATCCTTGAAAAGATAATAAGATGAAAAGTTGTTATAATATTTGAGAGGTAATGCAATCATAATTATATTATCAGTTAAATATAAGCATGCTCTTGTGGCTTGAGTGTTGGACCAGGGATCTGGGAGACCAGGGTCTGAATCCTCACTCGACCATGGAAACCCACTGAGCAACCATGGGCAAGTCACACAATCTCAGCCTAAGAGGAAGACAGTGGCAAGCCTCCTCTGAATAAATCTAGCCAAGAAAACCCAGTAGAGCTGCCACGAGTCACAATCAACATGAAAGCACATAGCAAGAACAATAAAAGCAAAAATTCAGGATCCATTTATGCAGTAAATTAAAAAATAAAACATAAATGGATTGTAATTGTGTCCTCCAATCTGGGCAGTGATCCTAGATCAAGTAGGTAAAGTGTGCTCTTATCTTGTTTCAACAGTTGTGAAGTCCCCTGGGGGGGATGATTATGCCTTCCAGTGGGGCAGAAGGAAGCTTAGAGGAGGAAGAAATTAATCTTGGCTCTAAGTGGAAGGAATAATAGAGTCGGAAGAGATCTCAAGGGCCAACCAGTCCAAACTCATGCCATGCAGGAACACACAATCAAAGCAGCCAGGACAGATGGCCATCCAGCCTCTATTTAAAAACCTCTAAAGAAGGAGACTCCACCACTTTCCAAGGGAGTGTGTTCTACTGTCAAACAGCTCTTGCTGTCAGGAAGTTCCTCCTAATGTTTTTACATATGTGATTTCCCTCTTCCATTAGTGGATTCTGATTGCTTGTTTTGCACTAAGAGTTCAGTGTGTTATGAGAATGAGATCACTGCACAGCTTAACACCAAAACTCTAGCCTCTTGGATTTTTATTTTATGTACATCTGAACCAATTTTTGATGGTATTCCGTCCAGTCTTATTGCAACAATGATTCCTCTTCCCCTCCCTCCCCAAAATCCCCAGGCTACCTTCACAGTTCTTTTGAAATGGAAAATATTGCAGCAGCAGATTCAGTTCAGAAGTCTTAATGGAGCATAAAAAACCTGAAAGGTCATGTTTTTGTAGCTTCAGAACACAGTATAATAAACTTCAAAAACTGTAAAATTAATTAGCACAGTTCTAGCTAATAAAATTGTGTCTTTTCCATCGAAGAATTTACATTTTATTACCTAATATATTAGTTTTTTTTTTTAAAAAAAAAAATCTCCATGGGAGAAGGCATATTAAATGAAAAGGAGAAATGTAAATCCAGATCATTCCAAATCTTTCTTGGGCCTTGTTGCCACTATGATTTAAAATGAATTGATGATCGGGTTATATGTCTGTCGTTCCTACTTGAAACTGGTTCCAAAATGACTGCACTTGGTTTCAATCACAATGAAGCGAGGCAAATGCAAAAGAACTGCTCTTTCCTGACACTAGTTTTTTGGTGGTTCTTTTGAAAAGAAGCAATTAGCAAGCATGTTCAGCAAGTGGGAACAAAGGACCTGAGTTGCATCAAACATTCCTCACCAGTTTTTTGGGAAATCTGCCATTCCCCCACTTTCCCAGGACCCGTCCTACATTCCAACCTTCTGTCCAGGAAGAATTCCAAAATGTCCTCCATGCTGAGCTTGACTAGGAAGCATGTCTTCCAAGTCTGCAGGGTTGGGAGGGCAGCATCACGCCCAGGGAGAGCCCTCCATATGACACCCATAGCTGAAGCATCCCAGGGGAGAATCCTCCATATGACACTCATGGCTGAGGCATCCCAAGGAGAGTCCTCCATATGACACCCATGTCTGAGACATCCCAGGGGAGAATCCTCTGTATGACACCCATGTCTGAGGCATCCCAGGGAGAGTCCTCCATAAGACGCCCATGACTGAGGGATCCCAGGGGACTTGGAGGATATGGGGAGTTGAAGTGGTGCCCTCCAAGTCTTGCAAGATTTGGAGGACATGCTTCCTATTCAAGCTCAGAATGGAAGGTGTTTTGGAATTCCTCTTGGACAGAAGGTTGGAATGTGGGACGGGTCCTGGGAAAGGGGAGGGGGGAAATGACAGATTTCCCCAAGAACTAGTCAGCGATGGGATGCTAGTGAGGGATGGGCCAGGGCACCCATGACTCCCTCCTGTGTTTTCTTGAATGTGTTGCCGGTTGTGTCCCCGATGATATGTAAATGATTGACAGGCATTTTGAAGGGGCACAAACTAGTGGGAATGATAATTGTGCAAAAAAAGAAGTGAATAAAGAAAAGACCCGCTTCCATCGTGGTTACAACACATGGACTGGAATCAATTCACAAATCCGGAGTGAAAGCAAATCGCAAACTGAGTTTAATGTAAGTGGGAATGAGCCCTTGATCTGCCTTCTGACAAATCCCTTCTCGACTCAATACTGGAGATTACCAGGCAGCATTTGGGGATAGGAGGTGTTCTAGGGGTTGTGATTTGTTTTATTTTTGACTTAAAAAAACCACACAAAACCACCCAAAAATTATGCCAAAAATTACAGCATTCAAGGAGGACTTTGGGGGACTGGTGGGAAATTCAAGGCCACAAAAATAGGCTTCAGGAGTTG